CCCATTTTGAGCCGGACTTGGCCCAAAGAGTGGGTGGACTCGAAGTAAGATGATGGCGCGTGTTTCGATTCCTTGGACTTGGGGCTCGCCGCTGGAAGTCGAGATGTCAAAAAGAGAAAAATGTTTGACAAATAAACAGTTGCGAACGGCCAAATTGCCTACAGTTATTGTTTTGCCGTCTTGGCCTGGTGGAGAACCTTCTCCATCTCGTTTATGATGTCCCCGGGCCCTTTTGACCTTTTTTTCTTTGTGCTAGGAATCGCATCGGCTTGTGAATGCGAATGTATGTATTCTTGTTATCACATCATTTTCCCCGATACCTGTCAATGTTTTTTATGCCATTTGTGAAAAATAAAAGTGTGCCTGGCCGCCTCTGGGCAGTTCTTAGGGTCATCGAGGTCTGGTGACCTGTCGTTAGCTTATCTCGGGTCTACATCGCGCAAGGTGCTAATGTGACAGCTACTTTTACTCGACTGCGGCTCATTAGTCGGCTCTGAAAATATTTCATAATTCATTTCCACTTCGACCGCACAGTCATTTATTTAAGAGCTTTCCGGTATTCGTCACTTGCGGCTTCGGCAATGATATATTGCCAAATCGAACTTTCTGATGAGATGCGGTTGCCAGCCGAGTGGAATGCCCCTTGAAATTGGTTAATCTTCGTTGTGGGCAATTAAATAATGATTTAATACGACCGTGGAGATTAATAGATGGATTATTTGGTTGGAATTGTCAGCATGGTTATGGTTCGGCAATATTTATTTTTGCCGGCTTAAAAACTCTTTCAAAATCTATAAAATCCCGCTATATAAAGGGGTATTGTGGATATCTAACGAGTAATAATATGGTATCATCCCAATTAGGCTTTAAGCATTTAATAAGCATTTGCTATGCCAAAATCTTTCTTCAGAAAATTTCAATACGACCTTCTCTTTGCTTTATCCAATACGAAATCGCGCCAACGGACTCCTAACTTGATTAAGCTTTTGTTAATTTGCGGATACGAGAGCAACTGCTTATTGTCTGGGTTAATAAACGGTTCCAGACTGAACCCTTTCGGCTTACTTCTTCATCAACTGCTCTAGTTGTCCTTTGGCAACGACAAACTGCGCTTAAACTTTCTGGTTTTTGTTATGGAACCAGGGAACCAGGGAACCAACTCGGCTCAAACTCCCCGAGTTCGGTTGGAAAATATGGCCCATGGCCATAATTACTATATGTATGGCTGCGCCGGCTTCTGCGGCGTCTGCAACATTTATAAGTTTATCGTCTGATTGCCGTCGTCCGTCGACCTGGATGGGACCGGATTTGGATTGGTTCGACTTGGTTGGGTTTTGAGGGGGACTCCAGAGGAGTGGCTGCTGGAGAAGGGCTTTTGTGTCTGTCGTGTTGCGTGTCCTTTGTGCATTTAACGGCTATTCGAAGGCTAAGGCAAACGCAGGCCTGCCTATAAATTAACTAAATTGTTGCGAAATTGTTGCAAAATTGTTTGTGGAAATGACGAAATTATTATAAATGCTCGGCTCGGCTAACCAAAAAGCGATCTAAGCGAAGTCAATAAACTGACACCACAGCAGGCTGTTCATTTAATAAACATTAATATGACTTCCACCTCTTCTCTCGCTTGCTCGCTCGTTAATTTGTGAATAATTACACATAATTTGCTTAAAATAAGCCAGCAGACAAATTTTTCCGCATGCTAACCTGGCGGGAAAAGCGGAAAAAAGGAAAACCCAGCGACGAAAATACTCAAATTATTTATGCATATATATGTGGGGCTGCGAGGCCACAAAATTATGCATTACAAAAGCGGTTAAGTCCTCTCGGAAGCCGGCCATAACACCTCCGCACAGGATTCAGGACTCAGGACTCAGGACTCTGGATGGGATGGGCTGGGCTGGGCTGGCAAGGCAGACATGACTCGGGGGCAGAGCCATATTCATATGCATGTTGCTCCGATAATAATGATAAAGGAAAAGTTTGCCAGACAGCGCCGCTAGTGGGAATGCCTCACCTTCAACTTCAACTTCTGCATCGGACTCGCCCACAGGATATCTGTTATGGTTGTGTGCGTGCAAAGGACTCAGGTAATTACCGTGTTTGGGGTTGCTTTTGGGGGTGTTACGGTTTGGGTTATGGGGTTGGGGCTCAACTTGCCGGGGGATCGGCCTTTTTATGCATAAATTTTCGGCTAAGAAAGGCGCGTGCCAAATCAGTGTTTACACTTTTATTTGTTTTGCGGTTGGTTTGAGCAGGAAGTAAAATAAGGAGCTCGGGGTTAACTGAAGGCATCTCTTTTTCGAGCGGCTACGGAAAGGGCTGATATTTTTGACTAATGTCTAAATTAAAGCTCAATCGTTTTGGGGAAATAAGAAAGAGGTTTTGCGCTTGACTGGGGATTTTGTGGCAGCTAAAAAAGTGTTTATTTGGTACCACTGCATAATAAAGACTGCGTGTTTTCCTTAGTAAGTTTTGTAATGCATTAGAAAACTACTCGTGTAGAGATCTGAACTTCTCTAAAAGCAGGCCACTAAATACATGAATTTTAAATGTATGCGGTAAGAAATTTATCCATTTTAAAAACTATTTATCTTGTGCTTACTCTCACTTTGATTGCAAGAAATTCCCTGAAAAAGTAAAGTTCGAAATATAGTTAATATTCAAGCATGCAACCCCTTGGACGTTATTCATCCCCATCAGGGCTAAAATGCCTGTGGGAGAAAGTCGATTGGAGAAATGGGCGACAGCCCGAAGTAGTTCGGAAAATTGATGCCCTTTGGAAAGGACTCGCCTGCAATTCCACTTGGGCGATGCAAATTCGAATGCTATCTCAATTTGGTCTGGTTTGGTGGAGAACCGCCACCTGGAGAAGGGACTTCGGGAAGAAAACTCACCCCGTTGCTGAAAACCTGGGCTATAATTTGTGGGCTTTGCCTGCCTGGAGGGCGTCTTATTTATAGCGGGGCTTTAATATCAATGTAAGCCTGCCCCACCCACACTTTGTACTTATTGATACAAGTTGGCATTGACTTCCGGGCTTTTTATTTCCACCTGTGCGAGGCTTTTGGTTCAGTTTGGTTAAGAGCATACTCGTAAGTACCGCAGAGTATATATCTTGTATGGGCGCATTTTTGTGGTTATAATCGGATTTTATTGCAAATTAACGAGCAACCCTCGCCCTCCCCCGTCAAGTTTACTCACCCCCCTCAATGGGTATAATATTTCAAGCGCTCTGTAAGTCCTTTTGCCGCTGTTGTCTTTAGCCTTGGTTATTTATACGATTTTTATTACCTTCATTCGGCCAGAGTTGCTGTCTCGTTCTGAATCGCAGTCTCATTCCGATCCCTTGGTTGTTAGGCAGGTGTTCTCCTCATTTCCCCCCGCAGAAAGCCACTTCATTATCCTGGGGAAAAGTTGCTCCTTACTCCTAACTGGCCCTTTATTAGCCCTACTTCTCGTCGAGTTGCATTTATTATTATGTGAATTTTGGTATTTCCTCGATATTAATTTGTTGCTCCTGCCGCGCGTTCCTTTTAGTGGCCTCTCAATATTCATTAGTGCTTTGATTTGTTATGGTTTCCCTTTGGCTCTTAGCCCCCAGCCCCATTCCCTCTCATCCGTTCACTCTTTGATATCAGTTTTGTGTTGTTTTTATTGCCACGAGTGTTTTGATTACTGCGCAGAGGGGTTCGTTTCACTGCGATTGTGTGATTTGAATTTGGGCCCCTGTTATTACGCCAGCGAAAAACGACTACAACAAGTTGAACTAGTTTGGCGGCAGCTGCTAGACACCCAGAGTTTTCATATTTTTCAGATTTTCTCTGCCCTGAACTGGGTGTTTTCATTTGCAATAGGGATTTGGCTAAAAAATAAGTGCGGCAAAAATACAAATTATTTGTTGGTATTTGGTTGTTCAAATAATGTGTAAATCGAACAGTGTAGAGGATTTTTTCTTAATAAACGTTTAGTTTTTTTTAACTAAAATGATTGAGGAGGAAAATCATTGAAATGTTGACGTTTGCTACCCAACATTAATTTTAAACGCTTCATCTTGTTGGTAGAGTACTTTTCATATTCCAAGTAAACAGCACTATTTTCGACTGGTTTTTCGGTGGCCGTTGATTTTTATTTAATTACCGAACCAAATTTCCGACACTTTAAACGATGGCGGCATAAAATAATTGCAAGTGCTGAAAACATTAAGAAACCGGATTGCAAACTCCAGTTTCAGTTTCAGTTTCAGCCTAAGTTGCAGTTGCAGTTGCATTTGCCACTCAACTCCGGTTTGTTAGCCAGCTCGATCGTTCGTTGGCTTTTGAGTTTCAGGCGCGACTTTCGTTTTCGTTTTTGCTTTTGCTATGCTGCTGCCGTGCTGCTGCTGTGCTGCCGCTTTTGCTGCCAATTGTAATTGAATTTTGTGTTGTCGGCAAAGTGGCAACCGTCAGGCAACAGCGGCAGCAGAATGGCCAACAACCGACAGCAAAAAGGAAGCAATTTCAGGCTAAATTTAGTTTAAATGCCTACCCCTTCGCTCTCGACTGACTGACTGACTGGCGACTTTTTGCAGGAATATGCCCCCTGCTCTACAGTGTGTGCTCGCTTTTAGAGCCGAGCGGCTGCCGGCTGGAATTATGCTTACTTTGGAATTCAATTAACTTGAATTTGTTGCAGTGGCGCGACGTGATTTCATTTTTCCCGATGCACTTTTCAAAGCACCAGCTCTCGACGCGATGATTGTGTTTAATGGAAGCTAATGAGTGGTACCGCCGTTCGGACATCTCGATTTCAACGATTACTGAAAGGCTCGTTGCTTATTGTTCGATGAAATGGTTGGCTATCCGAAATTTTTCGTACTGGCTATTGCAAAATCGAGTTTAACACGGCTATCAAACCGTTCTTCTATAAGCTAGCATTCCTAAATGATTTCTAGATATTTTACAAAAGCCACATTCACTACATAAAATTGGAGGAGTATACTGGTTGAGCTACCGTGTTGAGAAATGCATTTTTTGGCCTGCTCTACATTATTGTTAGTTGTCGGTACTTCACCAACGTGTTTCGTAGGTGCATTTAGACATTATTAAAACACTTTTTAGGTACTTGGTTCATTCACTAGGTTCAAGCGGGTCCAATTAAGGAAAAGTGCATGGTGGAGGTGGGCATCACAGCACAAGATGTTGCGGATCGTCATTTGAACGACGATCCTGGCGATGGTGTCAAGCTGTTTCTTGAAAACATTGGCATTATAGCCGACAACAAGATTATACCTGGAGCTTTTGGCCAAGTTCTAGGTCATTTAATTACCGAGGAAGCTGTAGAGCGAATGGACGCGACTTGTAATTTGATTGAGAGCGAGACAAGCGATGAAGAGTCTTGTGAACTCGCCTGGCAAATATCTGAGTGCTACGAAGGACTAAGAATGTCGGATGCTCGGCAACACCGAAGGACTCGAAAGCATAGAGGATAGCTTGCTACTATAATATATATTAAAATTGTTTTAAATTTGAAGCAATAAACTGACATTCTAATTGACCTTTGGTTTTCTTACAGAAACAACGAAGCAAGATGGAAAATGCCATTTTAATTGGTGGTCAAACGTGTCCTGCATCACTCAGTCAAATTGGGAAATTTCGATTCCATTTAGTGGAGTGTCTTCCATATGGGAAAGAGTTCCAAAGCGCCCTTTAATCGATTCCAAGCCCCCGCTTGTAATTCCGTAAAATGTAACTGCTACTGTTCGCCCTTCATGCAACTTCTATGTATTTTTGGGGAGTATAATCCGAGGGATGGCTGCGAATCGAGTCCAGACTGAAACTGTTTGTTGTTGACGCTCGAGCTTAGAGCTCATTACAATTTTCAAGTACATTTGCGCTGATAGTTACACAGAACCAAACCCAACCCAACCAAACCAAACCGAAGCGAACCAACTTCCATGTGCGCCATGCAGGCAGACCAGCCCTTGAAACATATACTATGCAAATATAGCACAGATACGGAAAACTGCACTCCACTGAAGGAGGAAATCCGTGAGGGGAAATGTGGGCAAAATCTAGACCCTCCAGCGGGCAAACTGTTGGCCAGGCACAAATGTCTGCTGACCATTAAATTCACTTCACTTCATTTAAATCTGAAGCATTGCTGGACGAGACTTCTGCGGACATCCCAGGGCCATGCCTGTTGGTAAAAGTTTTTCAATAACACAAGAAATTTCATCGGGGAGGTGGCTGTCTGACAACTGCAAATAATAGTTTGGCCCTCTAAGGACATTGAAACATTCACACCGTGATGCCCTCCTCAGGAATTGAGAACATAAGCTCTGAAATCAGAGATTCTGGGAATAAATAGATATAAATAGGGAAGGCGAAAAGTTAGCTTATTTACTATTTCATTGAAATCGTATTTATAATAATATTACGTACATGGCACTATAAAGCATTCATTGTTCGACTTGTTTGTCAATTCACATAGGTTTTATTTAGACAAGTGTCCGCTGACGTAGGCAACTTTCGATGGGCCACTCGGCAGGCCTGCTCCACTCGAAATTTGGTGCCGAATAGAGTTGGTATCACCCCCTAATTTGCTTTGACTTTGATGCATCTATACTAAAATGCAGCTGGGTAACACCGGTCCATTTAGTAGCGTTCGCCGAATCGGTTTCATTTGCGACCTGCATGTCCTGGAATGCAAATTGCTCCTGGTCGGCAGACGATTCTCCGCTTTGGGCACCCAAATGTCCCATGTCCTGCCCCGAAAACCGCAAAATCAAATTGATTTTGTCTACTCAAGCCGGGGCATGAGTCCTCTGTCCTGGCATCTAACTGAACTATACTCAGAATGCAGACGGCGCAAATTTTCATTACGCATCTGGAGCTCTGCTCATACGGCATTACGCATACGACCCATTGTCCTTGGCCGGACAATTGAGTTGCCAGCATTGTTTGGACACTGGGCATTGGATGTATGCATGTAAACATAATCAGTATTTGCAAATAGAGAAGTGCATATCAACATGGAATGGATTGGATGGGATGGGAGGTGAGCTCCCGACAACTAATGCCATTGCAGCAGAATGGAATGGTGATGAGGTGTGCGGGTTATGGGCTTATAGTCCGATTACGACTGTGTTGGGCTCCCGACCAACATATTCCACAACTGTGCAATGCCGGTAATGTTTGATTGTAATCAATCTTATCTGACCGAAATATTTCTAGCTCAGCATGCGTCCAAGAAGCCAAATTTGATAGCGCTCACCAATTATGTAGCTTCTGCGTTTCAAATCCAGCGTTTGCCTTGAGGCGGCAATTACCAAATTGCTTCGGACAGCCCTTCAAAAGATCCGATGAGATGCGATCCAGGTCCACCAGCTGCTTCCCTCTGCGCAAATAAAAAACAGTTGGTCCAACTCAATGGAGAAGATGCGATGACAAGTCGGGCGACAATCGAGCTCTCACAAAACCCGGACTCAATGGGGAACAAATGACAAATTTTTAATGCCTCACGAAACAAAACGCTGATAAGATCAGCGGCTGCCGCGCAAACAAGACAAAGCGAAAAAACCCCGAACAAAGCCCTGCGAATCCCAAACCCTGGCCCTGGATATATGGAAAATAAAAACACACAAAAAACAAACAAACAAACGGATGACAACGCTTCGAGGACGAGGATCTCAAGATCTCGGTGCGCTGATTTGGGAATTAAACACGCGCGAATAGGAATCAATGACGGACTACCTGCTCATTCGGGATCGCTGCAGGAACCTGGATAAATGCTTGGATAGATAGATGGATGGATGGATGGATGGATGGATGGTCGGATGGATGGATGGTTATTATGGCAGACAGACGGCGCACGGTCGAGCACACATTTGAGATTTTTGTCAACAGGATTCGGGATACCACGGGGCGCGCATAAATAAAATTAGTAGAATACGCCAAGCACTCAAGTCGCTAGAAAAGAAAAACATTTTGAAAGGACAAACACACTCGAAACGCGAGCAGGACCAAACCAAATCATCGGGGGTAGCTGGTGGTCCTTGCACGGGTAGTTGTCATCATTTGTTGATTTTCCTTCGTCGCGCTGCCTTGCAAAAAATCCTTTAAGTGCACTCCAGAGCACAATGCACTCTTCCGACGGCCGAGGATACCATCTTTAGTAGGTTCCGCTCCACGACTCTGGGTTCAGCCATCCATTGTAAACGGCATGCCTCGTCATCTCATCTCATCCCATCTCACTATTCATCTGCAGGGATTACAGGGCCCGATTCGTATCTGAAGACCCTGGATTAGTTGATATTTAAATCGATGCTCCAGCTGCACATTTATTCCATCTATTTCTATAAATAGGTAATACATTTAGAGAATAATTTTGTAAGCCATGGCTCCTACTAAATAATTGTAGTCCATAATGTAACGACTTCCCTGGCGCCAAATGCTCTCCGATCCCATCCGATGCCCTGCTAATTTGCAATTTCAATGTCACGCTTTGAGCAAGTGACGATAAATTCGCACTACTGCAAAGGGCCAGATTCTGGAGGGGATCTGGATGGAGTCGCCACGCATCGCTGGCCTCTTGCACTTAGTGAAATTACATGGCTGCCAGGACTTGTTGATTGCCCCGCCGCTGCCCCGCTGGCTAAATTTAGCATTATTAAAAAATTAAGCTGACAACATTCCGTTGTCACCCAGAGAGGGCGACGCACAGACAACAGGAACAGGAGCCGAGACTATCGAAATGGATATAGCTGTGGCAGAAGTGCGGGGATGGAGGCGCAGAAGTGCGTGCGTCATGTGGCAGAGTCTTCGGACCGCCCGACACTTACTTTAATTTCTAGGTGCCGTCGCAGGCGGGGTAACATGCCCCAGACATCACTGTACTGCGGCCACATGCCTCCTTCTTCGCCCTACGACTGATTAATTGTATTTCGTTTTTTTCGAGTTATAAGCAAGGCCAGAGACGCACGCTAAATTAAGTGAAATTTTTCATCCACATTTAATTACGCTAATGATCTGGGAGTAGGTTCCACTCCAGGAGCACTTGCCAGTTGCTACTTATTAATCGGAGAGTGGCACGTGTTCCCGAAAAGGCAAACTACTCCCGCAGCTGCCAGACTGAGTGGAATTTACTTCACTTTCGGGCTGTATATGTATTATATGTAGGTACCTCCAGCCACTTACTTGGAATCCAAAGACCCAGTGTCTCGACCCAGACGTGATTACCAGTTGCTGGCGTAGTGAAAAGTACACGAGTTGTAAGTCAAACTGACACTGAAGATTATGGTTTATGTCGACAAAGTTGACACGTTGTTTATCAAAAATGCAAGTCAAGGACTTTGTGTCCGCCGGAGGAGTCGTGAGCTAGTCGAGAACAACAGCACTCTGTTGACGGATGCATGGCAAGTGCAAGACAAAGGCCCAGACCCCTGCATCCAGACCCAGCAGAGATGCACAACTGCAGATCCCACTGCATCCGACCAACACCCCACAAGGGCCAACAAACAGAGGCAACAAACCGTCAGATAAGCGTGGACTTTCGGTAGTGAGGATTTTCCGAGGGGGATTGTACACCGCTCGCTTGTAGTGCGTGTGTCTTACAAACTGTTGTAATTAATTTCATTTCCTCGCGCCGGGTTGCGTCAAATGCAGTCGAGATAATGCCAACTCTGAGTGCATTATGTTCTGCTTAAAGTCGCTATAAATCAGAGATGCAATCTGTGGACACATGAGTGATTATCTGGATCGCGATCGATGGGTACGAATATGCATTTTAATGAGGAAAATGATGTCCCTAAGTTACTCCATTTGTTTTGAAGGCTGCAAACTATTTATTGTCTTCCTAAGTGTGGAAATGAGACTAAATTCTTAGGACTCCCAAACTTATTTTGACCAATACTCGCACACTATAATAGACTCTTATCCACTCTGTTCGGAAACTCGATAAGGTCATTATATAAAGTTTCGGGGCATCCATTCGCCATTATCTGCGGTAAATGATAATGGGAAGCAAATCGCATGACGACCATTTAGATGACATAACCGATAAACTGTAAATTGCCAACAAAAAAGTGAAAACTTTGTGCCACACACATTAACATTAACCTATCTGCGTGCGTATCGGCGGCTTTTCCGGTTGTCTGGGACCCATTTGGGCGACCACGCCCACCTCCCCCACTCAACGCCACTCAACGCCCCCAAAAAGGCAGTCAATCAGCGCCAACGAGCATGTGAGCCAGGCCAAAAATAAGAATCGGGAAAGGAGCCTTTCCACTTGGCTGACTTATTTCGTAGACTTTCTTTCGCTGGCTAGGATTCTTTCTTTTTTTAGTTATATACGTTAAATAACTCCCCGTTGCGTGGCAAACTTTGTTTACGGCAATAAAAAAGTTTTCTTAAAATATACAAAATAAACTCGAGTCCGGCTGCGGAAGACAGAAGCTGAGTGCCGAGAGCCGAGAGCTGAGAGCCGAAAAGG